TTTTCGAATTTTTTGAGAAATGTCAGTCTATAAATTTAGTGATTGTTTGATAATTTTTTAGTTGGTCAAACTTTAGTTTTCACTAAAAAATTTTATGAAATTCATAATTTTCATCAATTTTTCAATCATAAATTAACTTTTATCAAAATATACTAAAACTTTTATTAAGGGTTTTTGTTAAACAACCCCTGAATCGGGTTTTCAATTTTCATCATTCCTCGTTGAATCCAATCTGAATTACACTACGTGTCTGTGTCGGAGAAAGACAGAGAAACAATTACAAATGATAAATCTCACATCGATTAAATATCGAAATATAGACCAACATATAAAAGTTTGGACTATTTATCTTAATAATGTGACATTTTAGTATAGAATCCCAAAGTTTTAATATTGTATCAAAGCAACTTCAACGAGTAATTTGATCCAATTAAAACTCAAAAATGAACATGTCGATTTCAAAATTAGTCTGCTGAAACAAGTCATCATCTTGCGAGAGCATATTAAGAGCTAAAACTCACATCAGTTAAATACCCAATTACAGACCAACATTTAATAATTTTGACTACTCTTTTATAATAAGATTGATCTTTTAAGATGAAACCTCGAAATCTTAATAATGCTGATGGCCGGTCTTTCAAATTATAAACAATTACAACGAATAAAGTTTCATTAAACCTAACTGAAATCGAGAACATTTTTATCTTTTGACACCCTGGAAGATAGTTCCATATCATACAACTTGACATCCTAATGCAATTATACATGAACAAAATTACAAACTTACTAACAAAACTACTGTTCCTGTTGATCCAGATAAGAATTATGTACAATCAATCAAAAGGCAACACTTTTAAAACAACTTTTGTAACATGTTGCCTGTGTCGATTGATGAACTTCTTGTATGTATCTTGCCTAAATACTTGGAGGAATATAAACTCAGTCGAGCCTAACGAGCTATTTCTAGTTTTGCCGTGTAACCTAATTGTCGCTCCATCTCCCAACTCAGTTTCGACGCGACTCCATTATGTTTCGGAACATAATCCTGTTGGTACAGTACATAAAACGATTTTCATCACTACAATGCTATCAAGTTGCTAGTCATGTCACGTGTGGAGATGGGGCAGGTGGAAAGTTTCTTGGATGATGATGATGTACCTCAAGTTTGGACATAAGTTCATGGGCAGTTGGGGCAGAGACAATTATATGACGGGCAGAGGGTGTAACAAAACCCTCATCAACAGCTTTGTCTATAAAAGACAGCAGTGAGTTGTAGTACCCATCTACATTAAGCAGACCTACCTGTAAATCGTACAAACAAATAATCAAAAGACTTTCTATAGTTATATATAAATGGTACACGTGAAGAAGCGAAGTCTTCGAGATGTTCGTCTATTGTCTTGTCTGATTTAACGTATTGCGATTGCGACGACATACTGGTTTGTCGTGAATTCCAAGTTGAGCCCAAGTGATGACTTCTAGGAGTTCTTCTAATGTACCGTAGCCACCTGGGAGTCAGTAAAGGTTTTATTTTATTTCTTTTTAATCTCAAATTATTTATTTTCATATGCAATTTAATTAAATATTAGATGATCATAGAATATGAAGC